TGAGATGATAAATGAAACATTGGCTACATTTAAGTAGGCAAGAAACAACTCATACCACCTTCCTAGATCTACAGATGAGCCAAGCTCTCCAGGAAGTCTCTAGATTACCCCTCTTTATGGAAACAATTAATTTTATCATTGTCCTGGCTGGCCTGAGTAGGAAAGATGATGCCCAGATTTATAATGCTTGGCTCAGGACCCTAACAGAGACAAGGGCAAGATATCTGTTACCTCTACTCATCAGTTATACGGAGCAGCTGCTACAGGAATATCCAGAAAAGTCTCAACATGTGCAGAAAGAGCTGAGAATACAACTAATTGAAGAGACTTCTCTCCTATCCTAGATACATTATTAAAGATGAATAAATAATTGCCTAGCAATGAAATGGCTCATAAAAACCAAGTCCAGCCAGGGACTTCATAGTAAAGAAAATACAATTTTCTTTAAAACCACCCAAATTCACACCCAGTCCTTGATTCCAGGGTATGTCTTAGTCACAGCCAATTCTCTCTGGAGAGTCTTCCAAAGAATGAATCTCTTGAGAATCAAGTGAAGCAGGAGAGAAGAGAAAGTGAATTCTGCTCACAGTTGGAGGAATTTTCTAAGAGGGTGATCCAAATATAGAATGAGCTACCTCGGGAAAAATTTTCAAAAATAAGCTAAAAGGCACTTCGGGGGTATTATAGAGGAGAGTCAAGCATTAGGGTTGGTCTGTACAGCCTTAACAATTTCTTCCTACCATGAGAATCTCAGAGGCAGAAAGAATGATATGAATGAGTAGCTATAGGGTGGAGAGCATTAAAAACATACAGAGAGAAAGATGCTGCTGGTAAAAGCACTCAATTATGAAGAACGGCAGGACTTAATTTTGATTGAAATGGAAGAACATATGCTGTTGCACCTAATCTGATTAGAGTTTGGGGACCAGGGTAAAGGGATCTGACAGTGCATCCTGTCTGGGAACTGTGGCTTCCAACTTGACTTCAAGTCTGCACATCAAGCCAACTTCACTGAATATGCTTTTCAGATTTGGGGATTGAACTGGAGTTATCATAGTTTGGATGGATGTTAGTTATCTATAATTTTACAAATAATCTAAAAACTTAGTGGCTCGAAAGTACAAATATTTGTTATCTCACACAGATTCTGAGTATAAGCTATCTGGGAGAGGCTCAGCTGAGTGGTAAAGGCTCTGGTTCTCTCTTGAGGTTACATTCCAGGCCTCAACTAGGTTTACAGTCATCTCTAGGCTCACCTAGGGCTAGATATTCCAGTTTTAAGCTCACTCATTTTGTTATTGACAAGCCTCCCTTCTTCATTGGCTGCTGGCCAGAGAGCTCCATTTTTTGACACATGGACCCCTTGATAGCCTGCTTAAGTGGCTTCATGATACGACATCTGTCTTCCCACAGAGGAAGTGGTCCCAGAAGTAGAGAAATGTAAATGAGTGAGAGAAACGTGCCCCAAAAGGAAGCAGAACTATTTCCAGATATATCCTACAACTCAATGATAAGAAGCTGCCCAATAAAAAGTGGAAAACATATTTGAGCAGAAATCACATAAAAGAAAAAAAAATGGCCAATAAACACATGAGAAGTACTCAATTATCACTAGTAATTAGAGAAATAAAAATTAAAACCCACATGAGATACTGTTACAGAGTCACAAGAATGGCTAAAATTTAGAAGGCTAAAAATACTAGGCATTGGTAAGGATGTGTGGAGCAAGTTGAATGATGACAATATACTTCTGTGTAAAATAGCAGAGCCATGTAAAAAATAGTTTAGTTATGTACACATTTACCATACCACTTATAGCTAGTTTTATAAGAATAATGACTTACATTACACAGAAAGACTCATACATGAATGTTCATAACAGTCTCAATCATAATAGCCAAGTCTGAAAATGGTCCATGTAGATGTGTCCATTCAACAGATTGTGGTGTACAATGGAATACTGTTTAACCCTCCCTCTTTCCAGATAATTATATGCTGATACATGCAACAATATAAATAAATCTCACTGTCAATATGCCAAGCAAAAGATCCTAGAGACATGATAATACATACCATCCATTTACTTATCTATGAGAAAATGAATCCACAATGATGGAAATCAGGTCACTGATTGTGTGGGGTAGGGCTTTGGGTGATACCGACTTCAGAGTGGCACAAGGCACATTCTGGGATGAAGGATATATTCCATACCTTTTCTTATGGTGATGGTTACATGGGTTATATGGTATGCATTTGGTAAAACTCATGGAAATATAACATAATGTATATAATTTTCTATTATGTAATTTATACCTTATGAAAGTTGATTTAAAAATTTTTTTAAGTTCAAAATATATAAACTAACTTTTTTAGAAATGTGAGGAATAATTTACAGAAACAAAATAATACTTGGAAACTTTATGCCCTCTATGCAGGCAAAAATACTATATATGAATACCATAATCACTTTAATTACTTATATACATAGATTTATAGGTAGATAGATACAGGCATACAATTTATACCTCAGGGAAATTGTTTTTTTAAATATATCTTTTAATCATTTATGGGAAGGATAACTCTAATAGAAAATCTCAACAAATTTCCCAAGTAGAAATTTATAGAGATCACTTTATCAAACTTCAATGCAAAAACCCAGAACTGAGTAACTGAAGTTTAATTATAAAAGCTATTTTAAATTTAAAAATACTCTTCTGTATAACTTTTGAGTCAAAGTGGAAATCAAAACAAGAATTATAGACTATTTTTAAAATAAGATCTTTACATCTCATGTTATGTGGTTAAAGATGAACTCAAAGACACAAAGTTACAAATATATACTATATAACATTTCAGATAGTAGTAAATTCTATGCATAAAAATAAAGTTAAACAGGGTGAATAGAGAGTAATCAGAGAAGAGAAATGAAGAAGAAGAAGAAGAAGAAGAAGAAGAAGAAGAAGAAGAAGAAGAAGAAGAAGAAGAAGAAGAAGAAGAAGAAGAAGAAGAAGAAGTAGAAGTATAAAGACCCTGAGGAAACTGGGAGTGGAACAAGCAATGGGATAATTGGCAGAAGGAAGATCATGGAATGTTATGGGGTCAGATCATGTAGTACCTCTTAGGCTAGCATAAGAACTTTAACTTTTATTCTAAGTGAATGGAGAGCCTGTGGAAGGTTTTGAGCCGAGGATAGACACCATATAACTTGTCTTTTAAAAAGAACACTCTAGAATTGTCTATATAGCAAAAAGGGTAGAAATGGAGATTATTGGGAGGTGGTTGTAATAGTCCAGGTAAAACATGATGAAGACTTGGACCCGGATGTTATCAGTGGAGATAGGAGAGAAGTGGTTAAATACAAGTAATCAAGAAAAAGAGAATATAAGCAATTTGATTTAATAATTCAACTCAGAAATCTAGAAACAGACCAGCTAAGCAAACTATTCAAAAATCATATGGGTAACGGGAATTATGTCAGCAGAAAAAGAAATTAGTGAATTACAAACTAGAAAGATAGTATAATTGAAAAATAAATATTAAAGTTCATTCTTTGAAAAGTTCAATAAAAAGGAAAATTTTGGTAAAGTGAGTAATGAAAAGGAAACAGGAAAATACAGATACATTACATCCAGAATGAAAAAAAGAAATACTCAAATACAAATATTTTAAATTATAATGAAAAACTATAATCTGGTAATGCACACAAAAATATTAAGTTAACAAGTTACATAAAAATATTTGTAAATCATTAAGAGATATTAGAATTAATAAGTAAATTCAACAAATTTATAATAAATTTAGTGATTCAAAACTATTAGAACAAATGAATTCGGTAAAGCTACAAGATAGAAAATTAATATACCTACCACATTTCTATACACTAATAACAAATGATCAGAAGGAGAAATTAAGAAAACAATCCCATTTACAAGGACATCAAAATGAATATAATAGCTAGGAATAAATTTAACCAAAGAGGTACAAGATTTGTACTTGGAAAACTATAAGACATTGAAGAAAGAAATTAAATAGGACAAAATAAATGGGAGGATAAAACAAGCTCATGGGTTGGAAGGATTAACATCATTAAAATAGCCATACAGCCCAAAGCAATCTATGGATTCAATGCAATCTCTATTAAAATACCAATGGCATTCTTCTCAGAACTAGAATAAATAATCCTAAAATTTATATGGAACTGCAAAAGACCCCAAATAGCCAAAGCAATCTCGAGAAAGAAGAACAAAGTTGGAGGATTAAAGCACCCTGATTTTAAACTATATTACAAAGCTATAATAATTAAAACAGTATGATACTGGCACAAACATAGACACATAGATCAATGGAATAGAATAGAAAGCCCAGAAACAAACCCTCACTTACATTGTCAATTAATCCACAACAAAGGAGGCAAGAGTATACACTGGAGAATAGACAGTCTGTTCAATAAGTGGTGCTGGGAAAACTGGACAGATATATGCAACGATAGAAAAAAAGAAACTGAACTACTCTTACACCATATACAAAAATAAACTCAAAATGGATTAAAGACTTAAATGTAAACCTGAAGCCATAAAACTCCTAGAAGAAAACATAGATAGTAAACTCTTTGATATCAGTCTTAATAATATCTTTTCGGATGTATATCCTTGAGCAAAAGAAACAAAAGCAAAAATAAACTAATAGAGCTACATCAAACTAAAGAGCTTTTGCATAGTGAAGGAAACCATCAACAAAACAAAAAGACAACCTGCTGAATAGGAGAAGAAATTTAAAATGATATATTGGATAAGGAGTTAATATCCAAAATCTATAAAGAACTCATACAACTCAATATCAAAGAACAAATAATTTAATACCCATTAATGATTTTTCAAAAAACTTCTTAGTATGAAATTAGAAGAAAGATACTTTATTTTTTTTCCAACATTCATTTTCCTTTAATGACCCCTATCTCCCTAAGGGATGAGTGCAAACAGCTACGCAATGGCAAGAGATGTTCACTTGAAGATCCTGCCCTGATTGAAGGCTTTGCTCACATTCTGGAAGGCCCTCTCCCAGCAAAAGTACTCTCGAACCAGCATCTGGATCTCCTTGCTGCCAGATCCATTTTCCTTCATATATATGACTTGTAGTTTACCTGCCAATTTGGACTCAGTAGAAAGGGAAGTTCCTGGTCTTGGAGACCCAGACTCCAGAAATGGAGCTTCAATGGTTAGTTCCAAAGAGGATAACACTGGCAAAGGCATTCTTCCTCAGCTTGTCCAATCGCTGGAACATTCCAGTGATGAGGTTGCAACTCATGAAGGCCTGAGCGAGCTCGTCAGAGTACCACAGGGACCAGCCATTCTTGTCAAAGTGTTTCCCAAAAGACAACAGTGCCAGAGAGAGGATATTCTCATCGGAATACTTGCACTTAAACTCATCCAGCACAAAGGTACTCTTGGGCAAGTGAGCAAAAAGTGTTACTTGGCCTTTGGCTCAGCAGCCAGCACCTGTTCACATTAGTCCATCTCCTCATCAGGAGCAGGAGCAGGAGCAGCTGCCTTTTTCTCCTCTTTCTGTTCAGCCTGGAGTTTCTGCTTCTCCTCCTAAGAACCTTTCTCCTTTTGTGAGTGTCTTTTTTAGGCTGGCTCTCTGCAAACTTTTTTAGCATCAAACTAGGCCATCTTCTTATGGAGTTTCACCTCCTTCAAGACAGCCTGGAACTGGAGCTGATTAATGCAAGTGGGGAACCAGTGGTTGGTATTGTGGAAAGTCTGGTAGAAAGAAGGTTCCAGGACCTGTTTATAGGGCCACAACAGGGTGCAGACAACTATAATGTTAGCCAGTTTCACATGTTCGCCCAATAAAAAAGTCCTTGTCTTCAAGTGAGCATCTAGCAGCCCCAGAATTCACCTCACCTCCTCCTTTACATTCTCTGTGGTTTGCTTGTTGTGGTACATGATGCCCAAGGTGGAGAACACCCAGGTACTGGCTGGGGCCACTATGTAGCTATCAGCAAAGCTCACCCACTGAACCACCTGGGCTGCTGCCTCTGGAATAGTTCCCCAAAGCTCCTCATTGCTCACATAGTAGGTAATGGCATTGCTCTCAGACGCACAGAATCTGTTGTCATCTTCAAATGCTGGAACCTTGCCAGCAGGGAATTTACAGAGAAATTCAGGAGTGCGGTTGGTTTGGCCATAGTGGAAGTGGGGTGGTATGGAGAGCACGTGGGCCTGAGCCCTGCTGAACTGAGAGTGGCAAGAGACCTTGATGGCCCTCCAGTTTTCAGGGTATGTGTACAAGGTCCCAGCCACCGTGGTGATTCCATAGAGAAAAAGGTGAAAGATACTTTCTAAGATGATAGAGAGGCTCCATCAGAAATCAGTAGCCTTCATCATCAATGATACCTATTATCACCATTTTTATCTCAACATTGTCAAAAAGTTCTCCATGATACAAAAAGAACAAAATGAAATAAGATTCACTATTATTTATTGATGATACAATTGTCTACCTGGAGAACCCAATGTCACTTAAAATCCAAACAGGATTTTTTTTAAACCGACAATTATTCTAACATTCTTCTGGAGGAAAAAAAAATGTGTGAAAGTTGCCAAGAGCTTTTTGAAAAAACAAAAGTATGAGATATCTTTTTTCTATTAGTGATTAAACCGTATTATTGGTGCACAGACATATCCATAGAAAAGAAATGGCAGATCAGCATATCATAAGGGTGGTGTTTCAAATTAACTTGGAATACATTAGTAATAAATGTATTGGGGAAAGTAGACATGATCTGATTATTAATAAAATCTCTCACCTCTTTGTGGGTATAAACACTATGTTTTCTGAATTCTATCATACTGTCAAGGGTATTTGCAGAGTCAACTTTGAACCATGAATTTTGGAGGGTATATTAATTCTATAACAAGAATTGATGACATACATATTTCTCCCTACATTGTTGTCGGTTTTGTTTACATAATTTGAGATCATGTTTTTGGGTGCATTTATATCTTCTTGCCATTTTGTTCCTTTTCCCATTATATGACACCTTACCTTTTCCAATTAGGTTTTTTTTAAAATTCTATTTTGACCATATATTATGACAACACCTCAACTTATTTCTTCGATTTTGTCTTATATGTCTTTTACTATCCATTTATTTTAATCAATTCTGAATCCTTTTGTTCTAAAGTTTTCCCTTGTAGAAAAAACTTTGCTGTATTCTTTTTCAAAAATGCAACTAGATAGTCTTTTTATTGATGACTTTAATTTACAATTATTTTAAAGCTATACAGGTATCTACTACTGCCATCTTGTCTCAAATTGTGAATTCACTGTACATTTTGGGATTCTTTTTCCTACTTTCCTTTAAACAGAACAAATTCTCTTTGATATTTAAAATTTATTCATTCTTTTTAATTTTATGGTAGTTGCCTTAACATAAAATACTCATAGTTATGACTTTTATTTCTACTAAACACGAATATAATGATCATCCATACATACCAACTTCCAAGCTTAGAAATGATACTTAAAGATTCAAAACCAATCTGGCTAAATGGAGAGAACACTGTAGACCTCCAGGATGGAGCCTAAAGTGGATAAAGCATGGGTCCCTGGATGAACATCTGGAAAACCTCCAACTAGTTGGAAATAAAGTTTGATTTGAAATAAATAGGGGGAGGAAAAAATGGCGTAGATGACAGAGGCTCTGTTCATCCCTCTGGTGACCAAATCAAAGTTGTGATGGAAACAAGGAAAAATTGCCTGAGATCTAGAGGAACAAGCCATACAACTAGGGAGAATCTAAGAAGTCACCCTGCAAAGGCAGAAGATAGGATGGAGCGAGGTTGCTGGGCTATCCGGTCTTGAGCAGCTGAGTGAGACAGAGGCTGTGGCACTGGCAGCAGCAAAAGCCTCTTAAAGGGGCCACATCCATGAGTGGATTTTCGTGGTGATAGACCTGCTTGCTCTGAGCCCCAGTGCCAATTTTCTGCATGCAGTGGGCACCAGGGAGTTACAGGGAGACATTGTTGGAGTGAGGGCTTAAGCAAGACTCTCTCTGTACAGAAGTGCCAGCGGTATCCATTATTCCCTGTTGAGTCCTCACCCCTACCAGTGCACTGGACACAGTGCCACCATAGCCGTGACATCATCAAACTGGATAACAGAGGTCACTACACCCAGAGGATTCTTTGAACCCCCACTTCCCCCAGCTCACGGCCCCACCCAAGCCACATCCAGGTGTGTCCTCGGAGAGTCAGGTGCTCTTT